GAATAGTCTTCCACATTTGTGCAACCTATCCTCTGCGTCGAGTGGAAACATCATTTTTGCTAACAATTGTACCGTTTTTCCAAAGTGGTTTTCTGGAAACCAAAATTTACCTTTCGGTTTCAAAGCAAAGTAGTAGGATGCAATAGTTACATCGAATACCAAATAAATACCCTCGCTTGCACTCTTTTCTCCTTCATCCCGCTGCATCAACGAAAATGAACGGAATTAGGTGACGGATCGTGATCATCATGGACAGGATCAAGTTCATTGTCGTCTTGGACCAACCGACAACTTCACTCTTCAACTAGATCCAGTGGGGGCGCAGTACTCTCCGTCTGCTGCACAAACCAACTACGCTAACCCCCTGGCGGATGGTTCAAATACGTTGAACAGGCAAGATTTTCGTCTGGTCACCGACACTGGATTAAGCGGTTATTCCAGTTCCTTTCATCCTTTAGATCGTGAAGTGACCCCGGTCCAGCGGGTCACAATCACATGTACAGATAGTGTGGGCAATGCTGCATACGTGCACATTCACGTGAATCTGTTGGATGTGAATGATCATGAACCGGAGTTTATCAACGGTGGCCAATTCGCTTTTCAGTTGGCTGAAAATCAGGAGCTAAATGGTGGTAAACCGTTGTGGTTGGGTCGCACAATGGCCATAGATAAGGATGTGGGAGAGAATGCACTCATTACGTATCAGCTTAGACACGATGAGACCGGATTAGAGACCAGCAATTCAGGCGATGGAAGTGGATTTGAAAGTCATCCTGGTCGCTGGTTTGAGTTAGATTCACAAACAGGCAATTTGTACGCAAAAACTGTATTCGATCGAGAAGCTGCTCCGTCGGGTGGAGTTTATCGATTACACGTTTTGGCTATTGACAATGGCTCTCCTCGGCTTACTGGCACGGCCACAGTGGAGGTGTTTATTCTAGACGTCAATGACTGGGCTCCACAATTCACGAAAGATGTGTACACATTCAGCGTGCCTGAGGATGCTCGGATTCAGGAAGTAATCGGGATGGTCGAAGCAGTTGACAGAGATGCGGACAGCCAAGGAAAAATCACATATCATCTAGTTCCGCACACGCGACAAAATCGAGCCCTTGATGGTCCAGGTGCATCAGATGTAAATCGACTGCGGTCAACCAGACAGGCTGTCTTAGCTCCATCTAATTCTCCGGAATCCAATGAAATTTCGGTAACCGAGGTAACCGAGTCGCTGGATGAATCTACAATCTCAAATGGAAAACCATCCAGATCTTCAGACACAAATTCAGATATTTCAGATCCCGGAAACTTTTACGCTCCGGTCAGTTTAGAGAAGAGCAATTTGGCATATTTTAGTGTAGATCGTTTGACAGGGAAAATCCGGTTGATTCGACGATTAGATCGCGAATCGATTGCGTTTTTTTCCCTCGAGATCGTAGCGACAGATGCACCACCTGTCTCGGTTCTACCTGTGCAACACCAAATCATCGGATCTTCAACTGACACCCGAAATCATTCCGCAATTACAAGAACACAACTCGGACCGCAATCTCTGTCGACCTCAACAACAGTTGTAATTGTGGTCACTGATGTGAATGACAACGCCCCGGTGTTTCGACGTCCAAACACATCCACAGCCATTCAGTTACGCTTGCACGAGACACTGGGACGTCAACTGCTAATCATCGAAGCCACAGATGCTGATGAAGGAGAGAACGCTCGAGTCACATATCACATCCGATCGGAGGTTCCTCCACCTCCAGACGGACCAGGCACGGGATTTTTTGCCGTGGATGAAACAAGTGGTGTGCTATTTCTAGCTAAGTAAGTTCCTAGTTACCATAGTGATACTATTTTGTATTGCAAATACAGTTTGGTAGTGAAAAACACTTTTTGCATAGACTCGTTGGTATACTTCGATAATCCTTGAGCACTTGTCTAACAAGAGAGTTTTCCCACATTCGTGCACCAGTAGCGAACGCATCTACACATCATCGCACTTTTGAGAGAGAGAGAGACAAAAATAGTTTGTGATTTTCATGTGAGAATCAATAGTCCACGCATGTCTTCTACGCAGCTGACTAACCAACTGCACAATAGTCTGGGCGAACAGAATTCGCTTCCGTTTATTACCTTGTCTGTTTTTTACACCACCAAAAGGTAACCAGTCTGAATAGACTGAATTACCGATGAACGGTTCATTTATTATTCATTTAGTGGGGCTAAATTTCATAGACTAAGCGGGTAGATCCACCATGTGTATTTCCAAGCATACTGTCCAGCTTTCTCCGGAATAGTTCCGAGTGGCTTTCTAAGCGTTCTAAACCGACTAATACTGCAAACCAGTCAGAACATATAAAATAGGTCCATTGATGGTTCATCTAAATGCAAAGTTTGCAACTGGGACAAAGGACCAAATCCACTGATATTTACCACAAAGGTTAGGCTGAGCACCCTTGTGTTGGATGATCTGAGAACTCGTTTGAAACACGGCAATGAAATACGAAATGAATGGGTGTTTGTATTAATAAAACTCACCGGTTTGAATGATTAATGGTTAATGAATCGATGGTGAAGCGGAACAAGTCGGTACGGGCATGCTGCGGGAGTTTGCTCTGTACGTGTGTTGCACCATCGGAGATGACAGTAAAAATGAAGCAATTGTTTACTCAGTATGGATAAACCTGTGTGTGGCAATAACACGTTTGAAAACGACTAATACGAGTGGATAGGAAAGGGAAAGTATCCAGTTCGTAGACCCTTGGACGAGGTTTTTAAACTGCTTACAGACAAACGTGTGCCCTCGGTGCTTTTGTTTCCAATTCAGTACAACCAAATCCTTTTCGGAAAAAGAGTGAGTGACTTTAAAATGTCTTGATAAATGAAGTGACTGTTGTTGGTCTTGCTGATGGAAGGTGAAATCGTGGGTTGGGTAACCCGGTAATAATAAACATACTGTAATACTTAGTCTATATGCGTTGTGGTTTGTCTAAGATCATAGTGGGTAGATTGCATCAAACAATACCAAGCATTCACGATGGCCGCATTACGGGTCAATACATAATCCTTGGAATCCACCACTGTTTGGTTTGTGGGGTGATGTCCTCAGGAATCAAATGTTACTAATCCATTTATGTGGCACAGTTGGAGATGCCTCATTAAAAAACAAATTTGATTCACCATGCAGAGTCAATGCAGTATTCAAAACTGAGAAGTCTTAGAGCCATTTGTGGTGTTGTAGTAACAATCGCTAGCAGCAGCAGCAGCAGTGGTGCATATTCATCAAACCCACTGGGGTCCTAACATATTTACACTATATCTTGACGTATAGCAAGCTGCTCAGTACGAGCCCGGATATCTCCAAGTGGTTAGCACTGTCAGATTTAAAAGCCTGTCCCAACTGTGTTCGGATCCCAGCGGACTCGGTAGAGACGCACTGTTGAGGATGAAGCACCCGTACAGTTCGCCTAAGGCCTCTCAGAGGTGAATAACTTAGCACGATGAATATACTCACACAAATTTACCTGGTTAAAACTGAGACACAGGTGGATTAAGAACTGATTCTCACATTCCTGTCCGAAATGTATGATATGGCTTGATTTTCGCTGAGGTCAACATAAATGTCTGTGTCTCCGTCAAACAATTCCAAGAAGGCGTGGCACAACCACCCCGATTTTATAGCGCAAGCATTAACCACCAGTCTTATTCTGCTTGGTCGTCTTTACTTGTGAACGAAAGAAATGGAATTAACATCAAACATTCACTTTGGACCCGTGCTTGAAATACAACAATGACTTATTTGAACACTTCTTGTAATCATTTTATTTGCCGATTCATATATCTTCTATTGGAGGAATACAGTCCTCTGACAACTCCATCGGTATGGTGTCATGATCGTATACGTATTAATAAGGAAACAGGTTGCTTTCAATGGGCGCATATTCCAGATTATTAAAAAACTTCTTCTATGAACAGAGTAGAAAACTGGAGCTTGCGTATCACAAACCGTATAATTGTTTTCAATGCTGTTTTTCTTTACCGTTCTGTGTTTATTGCGATTTCTGGCCAAAATCTGTGTTGCGAAGGCTTTTGCACAGCCACACAAGTAGTAAGGGTTAGTTTACAAACATAAGAACTACATCCTCATGTAGGTCGCCTGAACCGGGCAACCTGGCTAGACGGAGAGGCTTCACATTTATGCACACAAACGCACGAGCGCGCACACACACAGTAGCGTGCCTGCCGGATGAAACTGTTTGTGTCTCCATTCCCCGAGTGCTTCGGAACTGCGCATTCGAACAACACGTTCCATCGTCTACAGTTATCAGCCTGGCACTACCGAAAGGTCATACTTGATGAATGCCTGGACTGGATCTCTTTAAGGCCAACCAATTTTTCCACTCGACACAGAATAGTGATCGTCCTTAATACATCCTTGGAATGTTCAACTCACTGATTGTCTCCCATTTGTTCGATAACCTATTCTAACGAATTTCAAGAATTAGACACTCCGCAGATTGTATGAGTTGTCACACAATCAACATGAGTTGTAGTCTTTTATTTGGCAAAAGCAACCGGGCCAACTTGTTACGGTTCGATGGAAAATTAAGATGAACTCAGACTATCCGACTTCCAGGGCAGTAATCAGGGGTTTACTATCTAAAGGACTAAGTAAATTAAAACACTTCAAAGTATCCTTAGCTTAGATCTTCGTCATCAAACTGTCAATTATTCTATTCCATTTATGGTCATGAAGGGGAAAATCGAGTTTTAGAGTTTCATTGGTTATATCTTTTTAAGGAAGTCGTCTCTATTAAACGGCTTTTATCTTCGTATTGCGCTTATCTACTTTACATCGCGGTTGACACTCAGTTCGTGATATAGTAAAACCCGGTGATAGATTCAGTCTATTATAGATAAGTTTGGATTCTACTCCAGCTTGGTCTGGAATAGACGCACATTACACATTACAGGTATTGACCAAACTCGTGCAACATCCTGATTTTCATTACATTTGTTCCTCTCAATGCTTCGTTTTTCCAGCCTCATTCACGGGATTGAATATGATATTGCCCCACATCGGATGCAACATATCTGATATAATATCCACTTGTGTCACTACTTATATTAGCCACATGCCAGTAAATTTTACAATTTCG